AGTAGAAGTAGAAGTAGAAGTAGTAGTAGTAGTAGTAGTAGTAGCAGCAGCAGGAGTAGTAGTAGTAGTAGTAGTAGTAGTAGTAGAAGTAGTAGTAGTAGTAGTAGTAGTAGTAGTAATGGTAGGAGGAGAAGGAACCGCAGCAAAAGTACTTAGTTCCAGGTCGTAGTCTTAGTGAAAACTTGTATGCGCCGGGAATATTCATTCTGATTCCCTTACCAGAACCACAAAGCGTCCTCTACTCTAAATACGATGACCATCGAAGGTGCACGAGGGAAACCCTTGGTAGAGGAGGGAAAGAGGCTACAGCAGTTGCAGGGGTCAGGGCTCTGAACCTGCCACAGTATGAAGAACCGTGCATGATGCCTCCAGTCGCTTGCGCCACGCAATAAAGATAAAGCATTTGCCCGCAGAAACATGCATTTGCCAGCGGCATGCTCTTGAAGCCCTTGAACCAAACCTCCAAAATGCACCTTAATTCCATCCACAGGAGGCCTGTGAGTGCTGAGCCGGAATGGGCCAAAAGGTAGCCCAAGCAGTCCGATTCAAACGCATGTCCTGGGCTGACTGGTTGGGGAAGGGGAGGCGGCGCGAGGACGAACACAGGCTGAAAGGCGGAGTGCTTCTGTTAAAGATACGTTTCGGCCAAACTTTGCGGCCTTGCTTGTCTGTCATTCTCTAACGTGCAAAGACAAGTTCATGCTTCAAAACAGAACAGGCGCGAGTTCCACAGTCTTGGATGATCTGAGTGGATTCGTTTTTTGTTTGCAGTCAGGCAGTGAATCGGTGGCAGTGACTGGGAATTTGAGAATGCGGCCATGCAGCCTGCCACTGCAGCCACGAATGCCACAAGCCCTCAGCTGACAGCATTCTTAGTGCCCCTTCTTGTTTTAGGGTTGGTGCCTTGGCCGAAACAGAGAAAGAACCCGCAAGCAAATACCGCTTTCTGCAGCTCAGGCAGCCCACAGCTGCCCCGGCCCAGGGAGTCCAGGACCGCACGGAGATGCTTGGGTCGTCCTCCTAGTGGCTCGGTTGAACACAAAAAACGCCTACGCAACGAGCTAGTGAGACAAGGATGCGAACATGCGCAAGTTGCTGTCCCATGTCCCCGAAACAAGCATCCGCTCCGAGGCGTGAAGTTGCAAGCTACAGTAGTCGCTTACCAGCCATGGTCAAAAAGCAACCTGATTCCTTGTCTAGAGCAGCTCTGACATAAACCCCGGTTCTAAGAAGCTGCAACAGCCTGGGCCAAAGCAAGATGCCGCCCACCCGCCCACCTCACCCACCTGAACAAAAACTACCTAAGGCCTGCAGCGGGCGCACATCTCCAACTCTACTGCTACCTGCTGCTACCTTCGTATGACTGCGATGGTGCTTGATCTGCAGCTAGAAATTAACCTACCTGTCTTAACTATCCGTCTACCTGTCAAGCCATCAGTACATGATACGTGACGTATGTATGTTGGGCTTTGTTTCCGAACATACCTATGTCAATGTCTAAGCAAGCTTCTTCTTCTTCTTCCAACGGCATGTATATACTGCGAGATGCATGCATCTACATATGTGTATATATGCACTAGTCTGTACATGTGTATATTGTTTTTGTACTTCTCTCTCTCGTCCTGCCAAGGCCGCGAGTAAAAACTAGCCAACCCTCCTTCCAAAACATGTGTATACGGACAAACAAACCATGCACACGTTTACGTCTGTGAATATAAATGCAAACACATACTGTACACACTGCACACATTAGACGCACACGCATGCGCCCAAACACACGCACACACACACACACATCCCTCCATCCGTATACATGCTCGAAAGCTTGCGTATACACACACACACATATATATATATATATACACATACACACATACATATATACATATATACACATATATATATATATGCGTGTGTGTGTGTGTGTGTTTGTATATACCTCCATATATATGTATGCATGGTTGTATATATATATATATAAGTGCAAATGAACTGGATAAACAGAGATAAAAGATGGATGAGTCGATGAGAATAGTTGGTGTCGCGATTCGATCAAAGCAGTGCGTGCGCATGTTAATAATCTGATCACGTTTCCGGCCTGGCAGTGCAGCGCCCCCGCAGCAGCCGCGGCCGCGGCCGACAGAAACAGCGGCACGGCTGATGCAGAGAGGCGTGAGGCACGGAGACTCGGTGCGACACCTTCCGCTCGTGGCTGCATCACTTACAAGCAGAATTTCCATAATGGGGGTGGGGGGAATGTCGACCCTTACGCACCAGAAATGGTGAGCTTTCTTCAATCTAGAACCTTCCGTAACCCACGGCTGCGAAAAACTTTGGAGCAACTAAGATGTGCACTTGTCATGTTTTTTTGCTGCTTCTGACACTTACTGCCAAAGGCTGCAGATTAGACCAATGGTCTTGGTTTGGACGGCTGAGTGTGCTGTCTGCTGCTGAGGATGCTTCGCTTGTTCATCCATGTCGATATGCTCCTTCCTAGCCGATTTGCACAGGTTTCGCACCATCGCTAACTTGTCGATCACAGGCGATACAGCAGCGGTAGGGTTCGGGGACACTTTGAACCCTAAGATCTACAGCACTGTTCAACGCAGCGGAGGTAGCCGACAAAGCAAGCCGATCCACGGAGCCACTCAAATGCCAAGCATCTCTCAGCCTTCGGTGCAAACTCTTTATGGAGGCATTCCGACCTGTACGATCATCCAAAAGCCGACCCTCTCAGCCCATCCACCGGCCCTAACGTGCAGCCCGGCCACGTGCAGGGGTGCATAAGCCCAGCAGCCCACAGGCTGGTGGCAAAAACCCGACCAGACCGAAGCTCAAGACACCGAGGCCCAGCGACAAAGCCAGGAGCAACGCCGCGCCTGCCACTGCCACGGCCAAGAAAAGCACTAGCAAGGTATGCTATCGGAAGAAGAACTGACAATTTCAGTGCTTTACGGGGATATGCCATCTAGTACTTATTCAACAGTTGAGATTGAGAAGATGGGATTTGGGGGTTAGGACACATATATGTATAGACATATGAGCAGAAATTCAGATTAAAAGAGTTTAAACAAGAATATAAAGTATGAAACTAGTACTGTTGAACTCGAAACAAGATGTTAATAAGTTTGATGAGAACCGATACGGAGAAGAGATATTCACACCAATAAGAAGCAGAAGATATAATGTCTTAAATGAAGAGGATTTGAATAAAACAAGTAACGATTGAAATGATCGACTCATGCTTGAAAACAAACAACTTAAACAATCAGGGCTAAGAGTAAATAAGGTTAATACATAACAATCCATCATGAGAAATATGACCCAACAAGAGCAGGTCAACAAAAAGATTTACCACGATGGATGCGATTAAAAAAGGCGTGCTTTAATATCAAAAATTATGATTCTTAATATTGTGAAATATTTAAGTTTTATTATATATTGAGAAACAGTCATCCTGAAGCATTATATCAGTATGACAAGTATTGAGAAAATGATAGTTTCAATAAGTGGGAAGTCTACACTGGGGTTCGGGCTTCGTGGCTCAAGGTGGAGCGAGAGGATAGACGTAGCCTGCCTAATGCACATCGCCGGATGCACCAGACTCGAGGACGCGCCCCATGTCGGTCTGATTGTGGAACCCGACTTCCACATGGCTTAAGTTCCCACTCCCAGCTTTATGACTCGGCTTGGACGGGCGGGGTTTTCGATGAGTGCTCATTTGCTCCGCTGCTCTGGCCTTGCAGCAGCCGCACTGTCAGTGGCCACCTTAGAATATGTTCCTAGAACTGAGCTCGGCATCAACATGGTTGGCTGCACAAAGGGGAGTGAAAGGATGAGAGACGAGGTTTTGTTGCGTCAGGTCTTTGGCTCCAGTTTTTAAAAGTAATAGTAGCGTTGCTTCGGAGATCCATAAAGGACGTCCGGTGCTACAAGGCGGATCGTGGTTACAAACCGCCAGACAAACAGAAGGTCATGTGGCAGGCTCCAGACTTCAACTTCGAGCTTTGTGCGGCAAGCCGCATATCCAGCCGCAGCTCTACGCTGCCCGGACGTGGTGTGGCCGATGGTGTGATGTCCTGGGCCCAAAGCAATCAACTGCTTCCATCCCTTCTTGCTCCTTGGTAGTAGATGGCACATGCAGTGACTTCAGCCACCTTAGCCTTCCCTGCATTGCCAGGTGGGCTTTCAACTTTGACCATAGCCGTGAACCTGATGTTACAAGCCAAGCAGCAGACAGTTGTCTTGTTCACACACTCGGTGCTGACCATGCAAACAGTCTGTTCGCCAATGCGTAGAGATGCGGGATGCTGTATTGGATGCACAGGCTGATAGGTGACAGAAACTGATCGAGTAGCCTGGATAGGTGCAGCTATCTGCCGTAACAGATAGCAGTTCTTCTGACTCCATGGTGGTCGCCGTTGTGGCTTTCGAGGTCTCTGCATGTTGCCAAAACTTCAGGGCATTATTGCAAGCGGCGAGCATGCACTTTACATACTGAACGGCCCGTGCACCCTATCTACGACCTCGATCCTCAATTGGCTCCGACCAACCCAAGTTGATCGGCCCTGAAGCCAAGGCCAAGGTAGGCGAGTGGCAGTGAACTGTGGCGACTCGGGGCTTCCCAAACCTGCGCACAAAATGATAGGCTGCAGGGCGCGTCGTTGATTGAAGCTTTTGCTTGCGAGGGAGCGGGCCCTCACGGCCCAACAGCCGGAGTTTAGGGACAAAGGGTACTTCAAGCCATACTTCGCACTGGCGGACCTCCGTGAGCAGGCCGACGGCGCATCACAAGCCTCAAATGCTGTGTTGCAAAACCGGAGCTGAATGGCGGCAGCAACACACCTTCCAAGCAGTCCTCCTGCGATAGGGCAAGCCTCACGCGCTCCCAGAAAGCCTTCTTTTACCACCAGACAACATGCAATACGCTCTGCACTCTTACCGATGTCTTGCGGTGCGCGACTGAAACGTGGCGAACCTGCAACGAACATCAAAGCCCGTGTCACTGAGAAGCCGAGTCGGAGCCGCATAGCGCAGTCGCAAAGCAGCATCTGATTCGGCCTGCCACCTCGGCTTTACGGACGGCGAGTCGGTAGATTCGGTGAAACGAAAGACACACAAACAAAGTTGATCTTTCACTTGGACTAGAGTGGACTTCTTTGGCATCTTGATAGTGTGGTACTGTCTTTAATAGGGTGACCTTCTTTGATGCCTTTTTTCCGGGGCTTGTGGATCATGGATAAGTCTTCAACATGAGGAGTCATCGGGGTTTGGTTTCGAAATTTCACCCCTAAACCGTCCTGCTGTACTGCCGTTGTACTTGCACTGTGCTACCATTGTACTACTCCTGTCCTACTACTGCGCTACTGTACTATTGCTGTACCACATCACCCGGCCTCAGGCTCAAGCGACTGAGTATCCAAAAACATCCAGCGAAAAAATCTCCTTCCCCAGCGTCCGCCCCCCCAACTTCGGCCCAGGGGTGTCCACGGAAAGAAGGCGGGAGCAGAATCAGCAGGAGGTCGAGACATGGTTGGGCGGGTGCACTCAAGACAGTACTACATTACCAAGATTTCTCGAAAGGGAGGTCATACGGAGACAGAGGACATATGACAGATTTTGACATAGATATATATATATATGTATGTAATTATATGTTTATGTATCATATGTGTATATTCTATGTACTTCCGTGTACTTCCAGAACATGGTACGCTGTTGCTTTCTCGCTGCTTGCCCGACGGGCGTGTAACAGTGATAACTGCTTTTCATCTTTCGATCGATGTGGGGGCAAGTGCCAGCTGCCGGTCTACCTTTCAAACCCGATCACTCCCTAAACCCTTTTTTGAAACCGGACTTGATGACTGCCAGCACTCCCTAAACCCTAAACCCTAAACCCCTTTTACACCTGGACTATAAACCCTTTTTGCATCCAGCCTGCAAGAGCCTGTGCTGGGAACCTAACGAGCCCTAAACCCCTAAACCCTAAACCCTGCCTGTTATCACTTGGGCTGTCTCTGTTTTGGTTTCTGCATTGAGCAGATCGGCGGCTTGCCCTACAAGGATCTTTATCTCCTTGCGCAACTGGTGACACTGTCACGTCTGGACGTGAGCATGAGCTTCTGCTTTGACAAGCTACCGGAAATTTGCGTAGACCATTAATATTAAGGGTTCAGGGCTGCTGGAAAAGATGGCTGGGCACAGGCTTTCCATCACATGCTCAGGCGGCTGCTGGCTCCTGTTGAGCCTGCAGATGTCGCCCTAAAGCCTGGCTCACGACTTCCGTAGGGTCTGAAGCGGCCTTGGCTAGATCGAAAGCATGATGGGGGCTGACAGGTTTGCAGCACAAAGGCATTTCCAACAACGTCGCAATCTGCTGGCAAACATATTTGAACTGCTTCGCCTGTCAATCTCAAAGGCCCCCTCCATGCCTGGGACCTGAACATTAAAAACATGTAATACACCCCTGTTCTCGTGTGTCGACAGTAACCAGCTTCTGTCTTTGTGTGTCGTTTCTGGGCCGGTGGTATGCTGTTGCAAAATTTGTTTTCGTTTCCAGAAAGCGCCCCTGGAAGCAGTTGTGTTGTTCGCCAAGCCTGATATCTGCTTGGGGCTTGTTTCTTGTTGTGTCTGAGAAGCTGAGGCTGCAGTCGCCTTGAGCTTCATCAAATAGTCTTTGGTCTCATCGGGGAGGCTGGCGATGAAGGCGAAGGAGCTTGTCCGGACCTGCAGCGTCGCATCTGCAGACCTCCCTTTGCTGCGGGGCTTCAGGGTTTCGGTCTAGGGTAAGGTAACAAGTCTGTAGCTCATCCGGTGTTTAAGTGAGGCTCAGTGTTACCACATACAGCAGTCCAGGTGGCTGCTTCTTCCATCTGGACCAGGGCCGCCGTGACCCAGGGTTGGCTCTCGGGGAGAAGGCCCGCACCAATTTCTGCAGCGCCTGGCAGGGGGCTCAGGGGCAATGCTTCGCGTGCACAGGCTGAAAAGCAGATGGATTGCACCCTCTGACGCCCGGCGCGAGGCACGAGAGGCCATGCACTTCCAACAATTCGCATGTCCCGGGCTGCCTCTCAAGATTGTCCGGCGCATCACATCGTCCATGAACGTGAGCAGGTAGGGGCTGCCAACGGTGGCCAGTTCCTGCGAACGCTTGCAGCATAATGGAGCACAAGGTCGGGCAGCTGCAGTGCTGGTGTTATTCGCAGTCGGTTTCTTGCACTTACCTCATCATGACGACATCTGCCAGTTGGCTCCTCCTCCACGAATTCAGCAACATGCCGCAGAATCAGCTCGTTCAGTGCGTCTATGCCTCGGCCGTGAATGTGCGAAAACTGGACCTCGATATGGGGCTGTCTACCCCTAACAAATGTTGCCAGCTGCTGCCCACTGGCTTCAATACGCCTGAAAACAGTTCAATATTCATATCCTCCACACTTGAGCTAGCATAAGCGGGCAAGCGACAGCGGCGGTTGGCTGCACAACTTGCGCTGCTTGCGCCTCGCCTGGATGCAGAGCTTTCCAAAACCATCAGCTTCGGGAGTTTGCGATACTCGACTTCTACAGGCTGGCCAACAACAGAACACAAGCCTTCAACGTCACTTTCCGCACTCGACAGATGAGCCACATGAAGACGATCAACCCGTTCCTGATTCCAACACAAATGCAAGCAACAGGCCATAGTAGAGACTTACACCCCGTGCCCAAGCCATGCTAGCCATCTCAGAGTCTAAGTCTTCACCACCTGCGGCTTTCTCAACTGATAGGTCCGGCCTCGCGCTGACCCCCACATTGTGCAAGCTGCCGATAAAGCCTCGGTTTGAGGTTCAGCATTCGCTGGATTCTGCGTTGCGGACAATCCATTGTAGGCCGTCAGAGTCGGCCTACACACCGCGACACCGCGGACAGGATACAAACAGGACCCCTCCTAGAACAAGACTCAGACTTTGGATGACATTGGGCCTGCCAAAGCAGCGAGGGCAGCAGGAGGGACGCTGCCGCTCTCTCGGCGGAAGAGAACCAGCAGCTGCGCCAAGAGCATGTCCAGATATGTCTGCCTTGGATACTACTACTACTACTACGACGACGACGACGGCTACTACTACTACTACTACTACTACTACTACTACTACTACTACCGCTACTGCTACTACTACTCCTCCTCCTCCTGCTGCTGCTGCTGCTGCTGCTGCAACAACAACAACAACAACTACTACTACTACTACTACTACTACTCCCGCCACT